CGCTGGGTCCCGCCGCCGCCTCCGGGGCAGGGCGCCCGGACCGCCCGCTCGGCCGCCCCCCGGTGGCGAGTCTCGGTATTGCCCCCTCCCCGGTGGGTGCCGGTACCGGCCCCGCCCGTAGCTCCCTCCACTGCAGAGGAGGTCCCGGTACCGCCCGTCCCGCCCGGGGGTCTCGGTGCCGCCCCCCGCCTGTAGGTTCTGGTGCCACCCCCGCGGTGGGTTCCGGTGCAGCCCGTCCCGGGAGCCCCGGTACCAGCCCCCTGCCCCGTCCATGGGAACCGGGACCGACCTCGTAGCAGGAGTCCCGGTTCTACCCCCTGCCCCGCCTCGGTAGGTCCCGGTACCGCCCCCTCGGCCGCCCCCCGACAGCGAGACCCGGTACCGACCCCCCCGCAGTGGGTGCCTGTACCACCCCCTGCCCGTAGGTGCCGGTACCACCCGCACGGTGGGTGCCGGTACCGGCCCCTGCCGGTGGGTCCGGTGTCACCTGGCCCGGTGCACCCCCAGCCCGCCCCTCGCCCACCCGGCCGCCCTCGCGCGCGGTGCCCAAATACAGGGATTTCGGCGCTCCRGGAGCAGCGCGGCCGGAGCGGGCCCGCCCGGGCGCTGCGTGAGCTTTATTGCGATGCAGTGGCCGTGCGAGGCGCGAGCCGCTCGCGGAGGCGCCCGCAGCCCTCCCGCCATCCCGACGGTGCCCGCGGCGCGGCGGGCGCGTGGCCCTCCCGTGCACCGGCCGGGCGTCCCCTGTGTCCCCGCGCGGTGACACCCCGGCCGCCTCCACGGTCAGACCCTCCCTCGCCCCGTGCAGCATCTCCCGAGGGAGCTGGTAGCCATCGGGTGGGTGACATCCCCGTGTCCCCACCTTGCCCACCATGGCACAGGTGGCTAAGGCTGGGGTGACATCGGTGGCCACAGAACGTGCCCTTCTGCTCTGCGCGGGCGGCTGGTCTCTACCGGCATGGCTGCGTGGACCAGATCATCTCGCACCGTCCAGCCCGTGGGCGGTGGGTCGGCGTGGGGACGCGGATGGAGCCAGGCTGGGGACGGGGCCGTGGCCTGGCTGCCGGCGGCTCTGCCGGGATCCCGGCGCTCGGACCTTGCCAGCGGGGTCGCAGAGGCGGGCGCTGAAGGGAGGCGGGGAGGCCGCCGCCAGCCTCGCCTGGCGCCTGCGGCCGCGGTGCCCGGGGCTCCGGCTCTCACAGCTCCGCTCTGCCTCCTGCTCCGTCACCTCGGCCTCCCCGCTCTTCCTGGCTGCCCCTCCTGCCCCCCGCACGCGGCCAGCACCTCCCCTCGCCCTGGGGACCCGGCAAGCTCCGTGCCTGGACCAGCGCCCCGTGACCCTCCGGGCCGTGGGGAGGCCCCGTGCGAAGCCCAGGTGGTCCCTACGGTGACCYTGCTCGAGCTGCCCCCGGCCCCGCAGGAAAGCAGGGCAGGCCCCTTGCGGGGGGGTCCGCTCTTCCTGCCCTCGACGCGCTGTGGGTCCTCTCRGCGTCACCGTCGGCCTCCAGTGCTGGCTCCCTCCACCACGTGCATCCCGCTCCCTCCCCAGGGGCCCGCGCATGCTGAGGTGCCACCCTACCAGGCCACCCCCCGGGCCACCGTGTCCCCAGCGCCGCAGAGCCAGAGGTGGGGGCTCAGCGCGGACCCCTCTCGGCAGAGGTTCCCCCGTGCACGCATGGACACGCTAGTGTAGAGCCCCGCGGGGCTGGGGGATGCACGTGGACACGTGTGTGGAGCCCCGCGGGGCCGCGCGCGGACACGCGTGTGAYGGGTGCCGCCAGCGAAGCTCAGCCGGTGTCTCCTGGCGGGCGCCCCGCGGCGCTGGCTGGACGCAGGAGCCACCCGCCATGCCCTGCGTTCTGCGACCCCTCCTCTCTCCTCGGCGTGGCCGGGCGGCCGGACGGAGCGGGGCGCCGTGCTAGCAAAAGAAAGAGCTTTAGGGCTTCACACACCTAGAAATAATAAATACAAGATCTTCGTGACACGCTGCGCCGAAGGAGCGTGCCGGCTCGGCCCTGCTCGGGGCCGCTCTCCTCCTCCGCCAGTCCCAGGGAGGTCGCTGCTCCTCGGCGTCGGTCACTGCAGGCTCCCACGGGGCTCGGCATGGAAACAGCCACGAGAAGGGCGAGTGTCCCGGGTCTGCCACAGCGCGGGAGAGCCCCGCTCCYTACTGCAGCAGCTTTGGCACCTCCACCTGCCGGAGAGGACACCCCGTTACCGGGCACGGCCGGGAGCAGTTGGGAGAGACGGAGCCCTACGGCCCTGCTGGTTACCCCAACGCGGCTGCCTCGTGCACCCCAGGGATGCCGCCCGGCTGCGCCGGTGGGACAGCAGGGCCAGAGGAACCTGCTGCTCATGGTTGGGGAACACAGAGCCCATGCTCCGTGTCCCGCAGCCCGYGCTCCGGCAGCTCCCAGGGGGGCACCGCAGAGCTCAGCCCCCGGGCTAGCCCCCGCGCTGCCCGCGCCTGCCCGCACTTGCCTTCTTGAGCTGCTTGAGGTTGCTGGAGCGGATGGCCGCCAGGAGCTGGTCCCGCGAGTTCTTCTCCTGGCCTGGCAGCGCCCGATCTGCCAACTTCCTCTGCGTGGCCGGGGACAGCGAGTTCCTCAGGTTCTCGTTGATGAGCGGCGGGGCGAGCGGAGGAGGAGGAGGGGGCGGCGCGGCCGGCCCTGCCCCTTTCTTTGCAGGGCTTTTCGGGGAAGACTTGGGGGATGGTTGTGGGGAAGGCTTGGGGGATCCCTTTGGCGGGGCTCCGGGCTTGGGCACCTCCAGGAGGTCTTTCTTTGCACGTTCCTGTGCCAGTTTCTGCTCCTGGAGCCGTTTCTGCCTCTGCTTGTCCATGTTTCGGCTTAGCAGGTTGGTGACCGTCATGCGAGGCCCAGCCAGCTCAAAATGGTAGCCGAGCTTCAGGAGGGTAGTGTTCTCCTTCARGAGCTTGGCGATCTCCATCTCCGTCTTCCCCCCGCAGATGTGCCGCTGGTTGTGGAACCGCAGCTCGGTCAGGGTGTTGTTCTGCAGCAGGGCCCGGAAAATGGCCAGGATGCCCTTGCCGGTGATGTGGTTCGAGTCCAGGTTGATGCTCGTCAGCACCTTGTTGGCCTTCAGCATGATGGCGATGGCAAAGGCCACGTGGTCGTCAGCGCGCGTGTTGGCCAGCGCGAACACCTTGACCACGGTGTTGAACTCCAGGGCCTCGGTGAAGCGCACCAGGGTCTCGTTGTTGATGCAGTCCGAGTTGTTCACATTCACCTCCGTGACTTCTGCGTCGTTGTTCTTCACTTTCTCGATGAGTTCGTCAAAAATGCTGGAGGCCTCGTCGTCCTTGGCCTGTTCCGGGGGGCTGACGGTGGGCTTGGAGGTGCTGTTTTCAGCGGCTGAGCTCTTSTCAGCCTCCTCTTCCTTCTCCGCTGCCTTTTCTGGCTCTGCCTGGGACTTGTCCTTTTCATCAGCCTTCGATTTCTTCAAAGCCAAATTCTTTTCTTCTTCTTTTCTATCCTTTTCTTTATCTTCACCTTTTGTATCTTTTCCTGCCTCTTTCTTTGATCCCACACTCTTCTCTTCTTCCTTTTTATCCTTCCCTGCATCCTTCTTTAACGCTGAAGCCTTCTCCTCTTCCTTTTTGTCCTTCCCTATGTCCCTTTTCAAGGCTGAAGGCTTCTCTTCCTCCTTCTTGTCCTTCCCTGCGTCCTTCTTCAAAGCTGAAGGCTTCTCCTCCTCCTTCTTGTCCTTCCCTCCCTCCTTCTTTAATGCTGAGCTCTTTTCCTCTGCCTTTTTGTCTTTCCCTGTGTCCTTCAATGCTGAAGGCTCTTCCTTCCCTGCCCCTTTCTTTAATGCTGAATCTTTCCCTTCCTCCTTTTTATCCTTCCCTGCATCCTTCTTTAATGCTGAAGGCTTCTCTTCCTCCTTTTTGTCCTTCCCCAACAGCTTTTTCTCCATGGCCTTGACTTTGTCATTGATGGCTTTCTCATCTTTGGGCTTCCTCTCAGGCTCAGCTTTAACTTTGGGGTCTGTTTTCTTAGCACTTTCTTCCTTTTTAGAGTCTTTCCCTGCTTCTCCATTTTGTTTCTGGGCCAAGTCTTTGGAAGGAGCTTCCTTGCCCTTCTCATCACCCTTCTTGGCTTCCTTATTCTTCTCCGTCGACCTGGTCTCCTAAGAACACAAGGACAACACGGTGTTACAGAGGCAAAGCCCCTCAGACCTCCACACTTGCTTGTCCCATCGCCACAAACTCAGCCCGTCTCGCGTGTGCAAGGGGCACGTGAAGAGCCACGCGCAAGGGGATCTGCATCCTCCGCGTCCACGCGGGCACCGCGGCGGCTGGGCAGGGCGYGGGGACAACCACGGCGGGCTGCAGGTCCCCGATGGCCCTTGGGCTGCTCCCGAGGGATGAGCGGCCCTGAAACATGGTGACCTCTTTGCTGTGAGGCCATTGAAGGGTTGGCTGGAGGGCAGCTGAAAGGGAGAGATGGGGAAAGCAGGGAGACGTCGCTAGCGCGTTTTCAGCACTCAGGGGGAGATGAAGCACAAGAGATTTGTGTGATAGAAACCTCCTGGTGAGAGGAGGGTGTCCCAGAGACTCTGCTCCGCTCGTGGCTCCGCAGCAGCGAGAGGCAGAGCGGTGGCTCCGTCCCTCCTCGGCCGTGCTGGTCTGTGCTGGGGCGGGGAGAGCCCTGCGGCCTCGTGGCCAGSGGGGATAAACACCCCGACCCGAGTGGCGGGGATTCGGCCCCGGACACGGGCCGGGCTCTCCTCTGTGCCCGTGGAAGGGTTTAACAGGGCGCGCTTTCGCCCTGCTGCTGCCTCTCCAAGAGGGAAGTTTAACCCAGCTGAGGTCCTCACGTCCAAGGAAGSCTCAGTGACCAAGTGTCCTAAATGGGGACAGAGCCTGCAGGGCACGAGGGTGCTGAGGGTGCTGGGGGTGCTGGGGTCCCCTCTCGGGGCCCCTCTGCTCCTCTGCTTGCGGCTGCGTGGCCGGGGAGCCTGCAGCTCTCGCAGGACAGGGCTTTCTGTCTGGAGATGAGCAGGGAGCGTCGGCATGGGTGCAAGCTGCAGCACAGGCAGTTCCGTCTCCAGGTGAGGAGGAACTTCTGCACTGTGAGGGTGCCCGAGCCCTGGCACAGGCTGCCCTGGGAGGTTGTGGAGTCTCCTGCTCTGGAGGTCTTCAAAACCCWCCTGGATGCGACCGGGTGCCCCATGCTTTGGGTGTCCCTGTTTGAGAAGAGGGTTGGACTAGATGATCTCTAGAGGTCCCTTCCAACCTCAACYATTCTGGGATTCTGGGATTCTGGGATTCTGGGACAGCGTGTTGTGACCCCTGGCTGGCAGCCTGGCCGCAGGGCTGCCGCTCGCGCTGGGGCCCCGTTCACAGCCCCACCGGTGAACGCGGCTGCCTTGGGCTGGACGAGACGAGCGCTGGCGGAGCAGACGCCGAGCGGCCTCCCCGGACCTGCCCGAGCGCAGCAGTGCCRCCAGCACCTCCCGCCCCAATCGGAGCCGAGCGACCCTGCGCCCAGCTGCTGCACGGCGGCGAGCCCGGACCCCCGGCCTCGCAGCGCCCCGGGGCCCTCGCCCTGCACCCCCTGCGCGGCTCTGCTGCCTCTGGGGAACTGGGGGGGGCTGGTGGAAAGAACTGGCCGCTCCGAGCGCGGCGGCCGCGGAGACTGTTTGTACCTGGCATATAAACAGATGCCATCTGGGACCGGAGATCTGTTTATTTAGTTAAGAGATTTCTTGGCTCCCCGCCGCGGAGCGAAGCACGCGACAGAGAGGCACATGCGAGCGCGCTGCGGAGCGCGACCCGGCCTGTCCCCGGAGCCCCAGCCGGGCACAGAGGCTGGCGACAGGGCTGGACCCTGCCCTGCGGCCATGGCACCAGCGCGGAGCAGGACGGCCCCGTCGCCGTTCCCRGAGCCCAGCTGGGGCCCTGCGTGGGGCTCAGTGACATCCTCAGCCACCTGCGCCACGGCAGACCATGTAGCTCCCAGCAGGAAACCTCCAGCCCAGGGCCCGACGGAGGAGCAGGATGAGGAGGAAGAGGAGGAGAGAGAAATGCATCCTTCCTCGCAGCCTCTATATCCCGGAGCACCTGCAGCCGCGGCGGGCACGGCGGGCGCGGGTCCCTGCGCCGCTCCGACACCTCTGCYGCGGATACCTGGCAGCGCGGTCCACAGCACCCGCTCCTCCCGCTGCCCCAAGCGATGTTATTAGTGGAATATTTTTACACAGCGTGTCAGACCTTTAAAAATAAGCCTAATGAAAACAGCCTGGTACTTGGCTGATTAATCACCAGTGTTTTGATGAACTGAAATGCCTTCCCCTTTCCTCCAAATAGACTAAAATGCGCGTTGCCATCGCTCGTTAGCGAACGCAACCCTCAAACCCACTCCGATGTTGCCTTAAAAGGCAACGGAGACTGGGAACTTCTTGCCTGGAATCTGCGCGTCCGCGGCAGCGCTCCCGCCCGGCTCCGCGCTGCCCTGCGCCGGGGCCGCCGGCGTCGCCGCTCGCTCCGAGGTGGCCCGTAGGGACCGTCCCGTGGAGCGAGGGGCTCCTCTGGTGCCCCCGCACGTGCCCGCGTGCACGGGGGCTCTCGGGCGGCACGGGGGTCCCGTCACATCCTAAACACTCGCGGTGCAGAGACCCGGAGTGGGGTGCGAGGTCTTGACCCTGGAGCGGGACCCGGGAGCTCGCAGGGACACGGGTGTCCCCATGTGCCCACGGGTGGGTTGTGGGTGGGATGGGAAGGAGCAGGGGGACCCCAGGGGCTCGCAGACTGCGCCCAGCTGCGGAGCAGGGTGACCCGGTCCCGGTTCCGCTCTGTCGGGTCCTGGTGGGGGTGACGCGTGGAAACGTGCTCGCGAAAGACTCTTCTGGCTCGGSAAGGGGCTGCTTTCCAGCAGCGCGCAGCTCTTTCCAGAGGCACGTCCCGGGGAGAGGCGTTCAGGGCCATCGCCGGCCACGTGCGCGGGGTCGCTCAGGAGCAAACGGAGCGCCCTGGGCCCACGCGCTGCCCCGCGAGGGCTGCCCGCCCCACGGAGCCGCCTCCCCGCGGCGTGCCAGCCCGCTGAGCGGCCCAGGAAGGCGGAGGCACCAGAGGAGGCCACGAGCGGCTCCTGCGTGAGGCTGCTGCTGCTGGGCCACGCGGATGGAACGGGACCATCCGTCTGCATCACATCCCCAGGCCAAAGTTCTCGGAGCCCAAACTGCCCCAGGCCCGAAATCCAGAAATACTGAACTCAGCCTGGGAGGTTCATGTTGACTCAGCCTCTAACGTCACCTGCAGCTTCTGGGGGTCTCTCCGAGAAGCTAATTGCAAGACATGAGCAGGAGATGGACACGTCTCCCAAGCTCCTGGCTGAGATACGAGCACCAAGAGCACAAGGAGGGAAGCGGGAGCCAGGACAGGGCCCTTGGAGACACTTGTGGTGCTGAACGAGGACCTCGCGAGGATCCTCAGCCCTCAGCACTGCTGGAAACGACGGATTAGCTGCCAAGGGGCCAATGGTCATTGCTGGTCATTGCTGATGACGATGGGGACGAGTTCCACAAGTCCTCTGCAGAGCTCCTGTCACCTGGTTGCTCCCAGCTCCAACTGCCAAGGGGAGGAAGGTGGTGGACATTGCTCTAAGGAAGGGCTTTAGGCTCAGTTACGGCTCCACAACTAACTGCCCAATGGGGCATTGCTGCTTGGGAGTTTCAAAGTGTCCTACAGATGCTAATAAGCCCTAAAAAATTCTCCAGAACCACTATGAAACCCTGAAATCCAGCCACAGGTCTGACGTCAGGCACCTGCATCATGCTCTGGAGACATCTACTTAGCTGCATTGGCTCCATGGGGAGCCCGCGATGACCCCTCCTTCCTGCACTGTTCACCCCGATCCCATCCCCAGAAGCTGTGAACAAGACACCAACATCCCACCGTCCCTCGATGGGACTGGGATGTCCCCCGAGACCGTTCCACCACACAGAGAAGTCCCTTGGGATGGCCCGAACGGACAAACCCGGACTGTAGATTTGTCCTTCCCGGGTGTTTTGCTGTTGCTCTCGAGCACGCGGGAGGGTTGCTGGAGCCAAGCTCCATAACAGGCGCTGGTCAAGCTGCTCCTTTCCTGCAGTCCCCGGCCAATTTTGAGCAGCGCAGGGACAACTCRGAGCCAAGGACATTCCTGGGAAATTGCTGTGTCCTTGGCCCTCAAGGCAACTAAACCCCGACTGCCGGGGACCACYGGAGGCAGGGGGAGCAGGAGGCTCCTGCAGAGCTGCTCCTTCGGGACAGCTCCAGAGGCCGGCTCTACCAAGGAGCCCCTTGGGACCGTGGCGAGCGGCACCCTCTTGTAGGGTGCCCTGGCARGACCATTCCCAGGAAGCTCCCAGGTCCTCTCTTTGCGTGTTTGGACATCCAGGGCAAGAAGCAGAGCGGTTCTAGCGAGGGCAAAAGGACCTCAGCTTCCAGCAGCATGGAGGGACGTCCCTGTCATCCTCCAGACCTTGCCTGACCCCTGGCCAAGCCCTGTGAGCCATAACCCAAAGTGATGCAGACAACTCCTTGCCCCATCCCGCCCCAGCTATTCCTCTTATTTTAACAAGGAGGTCAGTTATTCCTCTCCCCTTCTGCTCGGCACCTTCTGACCCCAACGATCCCTKTCTCCTCGCGCTTCCCGGAGTGGTGTGTTTAGAGCTCGCTTCCTTGGAGGTGCAGCACCGTTCTGCAGACTCTGGACAACTTCCCGCCTTACTCTCATCTTGCTTTGCCCTAAATTTGCTGAATTTAAGGCAGATAAAAGAYATTTCTGATAGGTTCCTTTATGTCTTCCCCAGTAACATGAAGCAATTTTCCACAGAGCCCTTAAAGCCACTGGATACTTCGCAAACGGAAACTTCTGTTTCTCCGTTAAAATCTGTTTTTAGAAATTTATTTTTTCCTTCTGCCCGTCGTTTTCCCAGCGCCTCCTCCCGCCAYGGCCACGGCAGAGCTGGACATTCCCAAGCTGAAGCTTTTTCTCTGATCGCCTCCCCTTCGCCAGAGGTTGCAGAGGGCAGCAGCCCTCGGGGATTCACATCACAGCCCCTCGCGGCCGCGTTTCTGCCTCGCAAACTTTCCGTGGGCGAATGTTATGAACATTCCTCGGGTTTTTAGGAAGAGAAGCCCT